AAAAAACTCCATTCTTCCCTCTAGGCACACGATGCTTCTCTCATGGGGAGCTTATGTCTCTGTCCTTGGTTCTGCGTTGGATTTGATCAATAAAAATATGGAAGAACTGAGTTTCAGAGCTTTTGGGTTAGTATTAAAAGAATACCTGCAGTTTCACCTTCTTCACTTTTGAGAAAGGCGTCACATGGGGAGGAGGGAACTCCAGCAGTGACGTGAAGAGTCCGGCACGAGGAAGAGTGAGGCCCTGAGCTGCGGCCCCACTAGCTCCCGCACAGCCCTCACTGACCCGCCAGCCACATGAGCGAGTCCTCGAAGTGGCAGCCACAACCCCAGTTAAGTGACTCTGATGCCAGAAGAGCAAAAAGCAAAGCTGCATCCCCACCAAGCCTGCTCAGGTTGCAAAACTATGAGCAAATAAAGGGCTCCTTTTGTTTTAAGCCATTAAATTTTGGGACGGTTTATTATGCAGCAATAGGTAGTCTACACCAGAAGTAATTTTCCTCCCTGAGAATTTCATTTATTGCCAGAAATTCTCAGCAATGAATTTAAAGTGGAAAGCACTGATGACTCAGGGGGATTTCAAAGAGAACTAGACTGAAAAGCAGCTGAGGATGGAGGCTGGCAGAGACATACTTGGGTGTGTTTTTGGAGCTCCTAAGTGCTGAATATAAAATCATAGAATCTGAATTTGATCAATTTGAGACTTGTGATTCATTTTAAAGGAAAAATGTTTGAAAGCATGGAAAATATTATCATTTGAAAGAAAACACATGCAAAATATAATGTCCTTACTGAGTATAAATCATAAACCCAAGAATGAGGAGACTGACAGGGTTGGAGCTGAATGAACGTCCTTATTCCCATCACATCTGGTTCTGTACTGGCCCAGAATGGAGCAGGCAAAGCCTGTTCACGTTGGCTGTGTTCATAGTTGGTTCTGAAAGGAGGCTGAATCCACTGAGTGTTGAATGTGGGGAAGAGTGGGGATCTCCTTTCATTTTTTGCATTTGGATAAAAGTGAGTAATCAACATCCCTGGTTCATTTCACTCCTTCTGCAGGCAGCCCAGGGCCGAGGAATGGGGACGTCTTTTGGGGACGTCTTTGCAGAAAAGTAACAACTTCATATCTCTGGGGAGAGAGCATTTTAATTTCCACCTCTCTCTATGTGCCTCCACAGCTTCATTACAAAACATTTGTTACCGCTTTGAATGAATGACGTTCTCCAGATGAAACTCTCGGAATAACAGCAAAATAGCTTTTGGAGTAACTAACTTCCTTCTTGTCTTATTCTCCCCAAAGCCTCTAACTCCCTTCAGAGAGTGGACAATAATTTAGTTTCCAAATTATCCCGCTTTGACGTGATTTAGAATCTTCTAGATCCATTGTCTCGTGCGGACCTGCTATTTATCCCTGATTTCACAAGCAGGCCTCCTGCCAAGCTGGAGGGGCGGTGGGCGGCGGGGCTGCCAGGCAGCCAGCTTGTGGGAGGACGTGCGCTTTCCTACAGTAGCAAACCTGTCTGCCCTCATTCACCTGGGACAAGCTGCCAGTGTTCTGGCTAAGCCTTGTCTTCCCTCCGGGACTCTGTACTGAAGATTTAGAATGTTCATTTTGGCAGGAGCTATGCCTGTTTATATGTTGCGTACCCCAAAGGCGGCAGTTAATGAAATTCTCAATGATTTTTTTTTTTCGGCAGTAAAAGAAGGAATGAGGGATGACTATGGGAATTCTAAAAATCTTAACCAGCAGTTGCAGCCAAATGCAGGGATCATCGTCCAGAAGTGGAGGAGCGGTCTGGCCTTGCACTAGGCTGGTGGCAGAGACACTGGTGAATGGTTGGTAAATTCTTTTTGTAAGTGGAAAGTTGCCAGGCCTGCTGTGGGTCTAGAACCCTGAAGACCAGGAACAAGAGGGTGTTGCAGAAGTTGTAGTCACACTCTGTGTTGTCATGTGAAGAACACTGTTGAAGTCACTCCTCAGGCAAACACGCACTGGGATCTGTGTCCCGGATTCTGTGCTTGGTGCCAGGCTGCAGTTTTCCTCTGTCCTCAGGGAGTCATTGTCAGATAAGTTATAAGTGTATCACTTTTCCAATGTGCAGTAAGAGTGATGTGTAAATGTATACAAATATTTGATAAAACAAAACAAAGGCCAAATATATTAGAAATCTTTGTGAATTTTCTGGTGAAAATCTTTTACTGGAAAATTTTCAACTGTAGGAACTTTTGAAAGCAACAAGAATTGATCTCAATGTTAACAGTATTGCAAATTTTGGAATTTATTGGGAAATGGGATTTTTTTTAAAAAAAGAATCTCTTCATATGGTTATGACTTTTCCTAACTTTAGATATATTTGTTGCTTCATGGGAAAGAAATTTTTCAGAGGTAAAGTAATAAAACATTTCTCTCTAGTGTGAGTGACAACAGGATGCCAGTCTGGCTGTACTGTTTCTGGAATGTGAACATGCAGCGATGAAGTCATCGACAAATCTGCAAATACTTTGTTACTGCCATGAGCCGATATTCAGGAATAAATTTTATTTTCCTTTTTAGAAAATACATTAATGTAAATATATTTGTACATAAATGTAAATGTGATTTTTGTGGTACAGTGTTTATTTAGTTTTTCTTTTTATAGACAGATTATACTTAGAAAACGCAATATAAGATGTTTCCCACTGTCCGTATTCTTTTGTAGCCATGATCATTTGTACTTTTTGTTTGCGTGTGGCTATACCTGGAAGTTAGTCCCCTGCACAAAGGAGAGGGTGCTGAGAAGGGATCTCCTCCTGGCGTCACTGTGGCCCCAGTCGCTGCTTCGCTCCACCCAGGATTCGGGGGCGTCGTCTCACTGGGGGAAGTCTTAGGGGTAAATCGCTTCTCTGCGGGCTCTCATGAGTAGCTTTTTAGGGAAGAATCACTCAGAATACTTGTTTTCAGACCCTGGCACAGCCTAGGCATGCTGAGGGTTCAATATGCTTGGGGCTTGTGGATGGTGAGGCTGGGAGGGGGTTGGCTTGCTTGCCTGAGACTGAACCCCACCCACCACATCAGCAGCCAGTAAAGGAGGAAGGGGCGGCTGGGGGCTTGGGAGCCAGTGATGCTTGCGGCTGAATGTGCAGTACCTCGGGTGGTGCAGACTAGGGCTGTGAGGCAATGACAGCAGTAATAAACGTACAAAGTGTCATTCCTGGAAATTTCTGTGCTGCTCAGGACAAGCTCTGAGACGGCTGGGCACACAGGTCAGAGAAGCTGTAATGACTAGTTGGCCTTCAGGTGCTTCCGGTTCTGCCAGCGGCTGCCCATGTTGCTGTCAGTAAGACAGGGTAGATCCTCCTACCTGTGGTTTTCAGACTTTCGTGTGCCTAAGTATAAGCTGGGGAACTTGTCAAAAGAGCAGGTTTTCTGAGAGATTCTGATTGGTTAGATTTGAAATGGTGTCCAGGGAAAATGCATTTTTAGTCAGTGGTTCAGGTGATTCTGATACAGGGGTCCTGGGAAAACACAGTCACTCGGCAAACCCTTTCCTCTATCACTTCTCCGTCGGCACCAGGCTGAAGCATGGACAGCGGACGCCTCCTGCCACTTATGGTTTGCTTTGCATCGTAAATGTTCGCATGAAGATTATTGGAGGTTGGTGCTCAGGTTTGCTGGCATTCATATCTTTTTTGACAATCTAGTTCACATTATTTCACAGTAATAGAGGAACCTTTTCTCAAATAATAAGTGAAGATCTGCAGGTAGAAAGTGGAACCTTCTGGGGGTACTTGTGAGCCCTTTTTCTCCAACTCTGTTTCCTCAGGGAGCTGGGTCCCCCCCGGGAGAGGGGGCAGCAAAGGAAGGGCTGCTGCTCCCTCCTCTGAGGGGCTCCTTAAGCAACATCCCTTGGGATTTGAAAACTGTCAGAAAACAAAACCAAACTCACGACTCCTAGAGCCCTGAGTCTGGCATGCCTGCAAGCGCACTGCAGCCTCAGCCTGACGTCTAGAGTTGGTACTTTAAGAAAAATTTGAGGGCATTAAACCCACCGTATTTTTATCGCACTTTGGGGCACTAATTAGAATAAGATTTATATTTTCTCATGCCTCGTGGCTTGAACATCTACTAATTACTCAGAATTAGTATTCACTCCAAGGAGCTGTAAAAAATTCTCAGCATTGAGGAAATTGTGGTGGGGTCTGTTGGCAAAGTCATCTCTACTCCCTTGGTAAAAACACTGTTTTATCCCTTGGGCCACCACAGTGGGTGTTTTCAGTTGCAGCGTGGGGGAGGGTATGTGTGCTCAGTCCTGGCCCTGAGGCCTCTGAGCCTGAGTCCTCATCCAGAGAGTGTGGAGAATCCGTCTGCTCAGCCTGTGATGAGGACTGAATGTGACCCTTATAAGCACTGTGAACAAAAAATGCTGCAAACCATATCAGTAAACAAAGAATGCTGAAGCCATCAAGTCATCAGCGGCTGCCACCACCCCCTAGTGAAGACAAACCTGCAGCCCGGCCTCTGCAGTCACTCACCATGGTGCCCTCTGAGGGGACTCAGAACAAGAAAGGACAGGGCACTGGCCCCAGATGGCTAGGTGCTTGTGAAAGGAATGGATTCAGTGAGCCCAAACGTTTGCTTCCTCCCACAGGTAGAAGAGCGCTAAATTCTTTCACTTGAGATGCCTGGTTTTCTTTAGTTAACAAGTAATCTTTTAATGTTCCAACTACCTGGTCTTTGTCGTAAAGCTCCTATATATCCTGGCTCCTCCCCTGCCTCTTCGGAGCAGTCCCTCAGAGCCATCTGAGAGGATGTCATCCCGGGCTGAGTGCTCAGAATTGTCCACCGAATAAAACATAACGCTCAGCTTTTAGGTTGTGCATTTGTTTAAGTCGACAGTACAATGTTTGGCAGATAGTAAACATTCAGTAAATGTAAGGATTTATACTTATTATCTTACCTTCGTTAGTATTTAAGTCATGGATAAAAGAACAGAGAGCAACTGTTTGTTGTAGAATGAGAGCAAATGATCCAGCTGCTGGTCAGATGGGCTATAAAAAGTTCACAAATTGGGATATGCAAGGTGGGTGGACAAGCTGGTGCTGGCTAGGACTACAAGTGATAGCTTGTGCCTCCAGGACCTGCCCTCGGCTGCTAAGGGCCGCGGCGCCTCCTGGTGACTGTGTCTTGTCTCACAGGTCATCCTTAAGTGGACCAAGAAGGCTCCTCATGGGCTCTGGACTGGGTACAATGCGGGCCAAGTTGTGTTTATTATCTTGAGTTCAGCCAAATTAGCACACTGTAAGCAAATCATCATCCAAGCTCACACTCCCTAGAAAACATCAGTGAATGTCCAAGTCGCAGCCAGTCGGCAAGGAGGTTTCAGGGGACAAGGAGGTTTGACTGGTGTTCAGGACGGGCTCTTCCTTAACTCCACGGAAGGCGGCTCAGACCAAGCTGGGTTCCGGGGCTCCGCAGCAGCCACAGCATTCGTCTGGGAGGAATGAAGAGGTCAGAGGTTCTAAGCATTAGGCCAGGGTTTTATCCGAAAATAAAATTGTTGAAATACACTTATTTTTTCTTTTGCCACTAATTTATTTAAAAACATTAACTTCATAGAAAGAAATCTGAAATGAAAATATTAATTTCAAACTACTAATAATCATTCCTAGTTTGTGGTGTCATTAAAAATTTGGTTTCTGTGGTTGGCCTGAGTTCTCAAAAATGATGCCAAACCTGCTAGTTTAAAGCAAGGGATCACTGAAACCAGAGTCCCAGGAGTGATGCGTGCTTCATGCTTTTGCTTTGAACTCCTTGACCAGAAATCAAACTAATGATCGATGAAGGAAACAGACGGAACATCTTGAAGCCATTTTTCTCGTAGAAACCCTGGGCCTTTTCTTTTTTCCTTTCCTGTTTTTTGGCAGGGGGAGGTAATTAGGTTTACTTATTTCTTTTTGGAGGAGGTGCTGGAGATGGAACCCAGGACCTCACGAATGCTAAGCATGTGCTCCACCACTGAGCTACACCCACCCCCGCCCTGGCCTTTTCTTATTTTCTCTTTTTTCATTTTTGATGGTTTACAGGGTAGCTAGTGAGCAGCCCTGTTACATTATAGGCTAAGCAGGCTTCTGTGTATACCTTGGAATTGACAACCTATATATAATTTTTTGAATGTGGAAACAAATTCTGACATGGAGGAAAATTTTTGGTCTTCAACCCATTTGTAATCTTGGGACCACATTCCAAAGGTTGAAGGTTGAATCTCACAAGAACAATTGTTACTTTAAAAGTACTCAACTGTCATTACCTTGTCCTATGGGATTTATTTAGCTAACCACCCCCCACCTTCCTATACAGGAAGAAATGATTTCTGCAGTGTAGCGGGAGTCTTATGTTCTTCCAGTCACAAATCTCCTGTTTCTGCTGGGCCCCGGTCTCACTCAGGCCTAGGCAGCTGCATCCAGTCCTTTGCTCCGTCCTAACCCAGGCATGGGTCACAGCCTCTTTGATTAATTCAACACATCACACCTCTAGAGCCTCCGTGAGCTACAGACCTTGTGGAGTGTTTAAACGAGTGCTGGTGCAGGGGTGGTGGTTTCTCACCACCAGAGGACAAGGGGGCACCGGACACGGCACTTCAAGGCCTGCCTGGGACACCTCACCCCTTCGCCCTCCCAAGTGTCCAGGCTTCTGTTTGTCTCTTCCCTGCCTCCTTGCTCAGCTCTGTGTGCAACTTCATCCTCAGGTCCCTTTTCTTTTCCCTTTAGGGGCAGTTCGTCTGGTTCCTGACGTTAAATCCATGCGACGGGGCCTCGCCTCGTGCGCCCGATGCAGCCTGTGAAGGTGTGGTTGCCCAATTTAAGGTCATCTGCTCCAGAGCCAAATCCTTCCATGACAAATATTTGGTTGGTGATAATACTAAATAATTGTTTTTCCCTCTCTCTGTTGTTCTGTGGATGGAAAAAGAAGTCCTACGTATTGTTGAACAGGAAGGTTTGCCTGTCACCTGCCTATCAAAGTTTGAGTGACCTTTCCAAGGACCGGATTGAGACAGCATCGGGACAAGTTTGCTAGGGTGAGTGGTTCCTAGGCTGCCTTAGTGGAAGGTCTCACAGCAGGGAAGTTTGCATGCTCCAGCTTCACCTGGGAGCAGAGAGAGTCCTTTCGGCAGTGGCGGCCTCGGGGAGTAGGCGCTGGCATTCACTGCCATCTTCTGTGTACCTCAGTTCAGAGTGCCCCGGGGCTCAGAAATCACAGTTCCGCTGTCTTTGGTGAGTTGAAACCTCTCCACTTCTCTCTGACAGAAAGCAGCAGATCATCTGCGTTGAACTACGAAGCATGCTGGTGAATTAGTATGTGATGCCAAGATAGGTTCCACTGGCTGTGAATTCTACATGTGGATGTCTTGGGAGCCTGGATTTTGTGGCGCTTACTTTTCCCTTGCTTTGGTTCATTCACCTTTACAAGCTTTGCTGGTGAATCAGAAATCTTCTACGACTAGTCTGTCACCTGGATTCATGTTGTAAATCACAGCCGACTGATGGTGCTATGGACTGTTTACATCTGCTCCCGGATCCATGTTGAAACCCCAGTCCCCAGCTGTGATGGTGTTTGGAGGTGGGGCCTTTGGGGAGTAATCAGGTAATTGGGAAGTAATCCCATGATGGGACTGCTTCCTTACAAGGGGGCAAAGAGACCAGAGCTGTCTCTGTCTCTGCCACAGGAATATGTCAAGAAAGTGACCAGGAAGATGGTCTCCTCCCCAAGAACCTGACCACCCTGGCACCCTGATGGCAGATGTCTGGCCCTAGAACTGTGAGATATAAATGTCTGTTGTTTAACTCACCCACCACCCCTGTCTCTGATATTCTGTGATAGTGGTCTGAACTGACCAAGACATGCTGTGAAACTAACTGAAAGAAATGGATTAAGGACTTGTAAGGTTCTGTTCTTGGTTAGATAAATAACCCAGACACATAAATGCAATCGAGGAGAGATGTAGCATTTAGGAAGATGACTCAGATGACACGTGCTCAAAAGAAGGTGTTAGTGTGATGTGGTTCCCAAGAGAGCAGATTCTAATTTAGGTAGAGGCACAGACGACAGAGTGAAGAAGGCAATAATCCTGTTAGTTTGACCCTGGTCAGATCAAATCCGGACCACCAGGTCCAGGTACCACAGTTTAAAATGGATGTTGTGAATTGGATTCACTCCGTGGAAAGTGACCAAGATGGTTACAGAAGCTTAAAATGGCAGTACTTTAAGAGTGAATCCTGGAAAGTGGCTGTGGGACCAACGATGCATAGAAAATCTCACACTTTTATGCGTTTGGTGGTATTTTATGTTACAAATGACATTCTTGTTTACTTTAGGACCATTTATGATCTCCTGCTGTGATCTCATAGTAGGAATTTGAATTTTTATCTTCTTTTTATAAGCTACAGGGATGCAAGTTATGTTTCAGTTCAACACACTGTTGTGGAAAGGCAGAGGGGAGGGTCTCAGCAGCCCTGCCTGTGTTTCTTCCACCAGAGACCCTGGGAATGCAGCTGAAATGGGGCTGATCCGGGGGACAGCGCTCACTGCAGCGGCCCTGGGGTGTCTAGAAAGGGCTTTGTGAGGAAACCCACAGCCGGCTCTGGGCTCTGGTTGAGTGATTTTGGGCCAGGTCTGTAGAAACAGAGGTTTTCTCTGGATTGGGTGTTGTCAGAAAATAGAAACACTTCTAACACTGGGCATCTGAATAAATCTCATTTACAGGGGTGGCAGTGACAGCTGTAGCTGGTAGGAGTCCCAGCTGAGCAGGCGGGGATTTTGGTGTCTGGGTGTCACCGTGCCTGGGGCTCGTCTTGCTGTGTCGTGTCTCAGGGTGACCTCTTTGACACAGATGCTCTGTGATACTGGTTATGGCTTAGGTGTGAGCATCACTGCAGTCCTGGATGTCAAGGGTGGCTTTTTCTTTCCTCAGCCCTGATTTGGTTGGCTGTCCTGTAAGAGCTTATTCACACATTGGGACCTAAAAAGTGGAGAGTCAGAGGATTTGGGGAATTTTCCAAAGACAAACACTTCTGAGCTGAGGACCTGCTCCTGCCTTAACCTCCTGCTCCTTCTCTGCTGATGACGCTGCTGTTGCTCACCAGGAGGCAGGGCGATTGTGGTGATGGGAGACAGAACAGTGGAAAGACATTCATGCTTTAAGGTTCCTCCGGGAGCCGCCCCTCAGAAAGAAGACCTCCCTCTTGTGGTGCTGGTGGCACCATCCACCCAGTGGGGCCTCCTCGGGTCCCCAGGCCCACCGGGTCCTCAGGGAAGAGGGATCCTGGGGGAGAGCCCGCTCTCCCAGCAAACACAGAACCAGACATTATCAGGAAACGTAATGAGACTCAGAGAGGAAGCTGAGGACATGAAGACTCAGAACAATGGTACTGGGTTCAGATTTGAAAAGTGGTCCTTGGCCTGCATGGTGGGCATTGGTACAGATCAGCCTTGAGCAGGGCAGAGGGCATCTCTGGAGCCACCAGACTTCCTGTCTCTAAGTCACTAACACAGCAACCCTGGACTCCAGTAATGGTGGAGAACTCAGCAGTTCAGAAATCAGGGACTCTGTTGTGAATGACTAGACATTCTCGTGACTGGTCTCCGCCACATTAAATTTCGCTGGCTCCAACCTGGGGCCCAGAGGGGGTTGGGGGACAAAGGACCAAAGACTGGGTGCCAGCCCACGAAGCCGTTGCCACACAAACAGCAAAAGTGTCTTGTTCTGTTGACGTTGCTTCTCGGTCTGTTTGTCTGTCTTGGGAGGTGCAGGGTTTTGGCATGAATGCCTGAAGTGTCTGTAACTCAGAACAGGGCTGTGCTATTTCTGTCCTGAAAATACTTTCTTAATTAAAGAACATTTGACAATAGCGTTTCCTGTGAAGACTGGCAGTGAGCTGTTGCTCTGACGCAGCTGGAGTTCAGCCCCAGCCCAAGGGTGTGAAGAAGGGAGCAGAAGCAAACACTGTGAAGTCTTGTGAAGTGCGCAGCTGCTGA